GTCTGTTTGGGGGGACCTGGGCTCAAGGGAGGGGATCAAGAATGTGATTTAGCTGTGCAGCTTTGTCAATGGAAATGCCACATTCACGACTCCCATTGCCAACTCAGAGGCAAACAGACCATATTCATAGGTTCATGCTCGATTAGGGATATTGTAAGGGTGGTCCCCCAGGAAAAGAGGAGGTTTCAGGTTCCCTGCTCCACCCAAAGGAGGATGGACCTGAGCGGGGAGGAGGAGAATCTGGAGAGGAGACTGAGGAGGATGGAAGCAGGATGGAGAGCCAGAGGGAGACCAGAGGGAGGCACATGGAACAGAGAGACATGTGAGGAAGTGGCTCTTGTTTCTTGGCCCTGGGCTGGGTGAAACAGATGTGGGTGAGAGACCCGTGGGGAGGTTCGCTATGACTGCGTTTATCTTGATTTTGATGTTGCTCTTTTCCTCCCAGATAACAAAATCTTATGTTCATCATTCACTCAGGATTACGAAGTATCATTATCAGGGGTTTTCACCTGTAAGTGATTTTCATTTGGAAAAAACCACTATTTTCAAAGTACTTATAGGAACCTTATTAAATGTAGAACTAGGCTGCAAATTAAACATGCTTCTCTTATTCAGAACACGTCTTTAAAACTGAGCAAGCTGGAAGGTGCATGTCCTGAAGATATAATTTGTGATGGCTTGTTTTTTATTTCTAAGGGAGACCAGTCTGACACCATCAGGATTCTCAGATCAAGAAGAAAATGACTGCAGGGACTTTGACCACATGTTTCCAGTACCTTAAATGTGTTCTATTGTCTTACTGGGGTGACATTTGAGAATTTGCTCTGCATCATAAAGAGCATATCACACAAATGTTGTGCACCCATCAATAGTCCAGTTCTCTGTTCCAGACACAGAAAGTCATGATCACACAGTCACCGACACGATCAGTGCTGGGATACTCTCCCCTGAGCTTAGAGTTCCCTGATTTTGTGGAAAGGGGAGGTTGTGCTGCCTTCTTAGTTGGGGAAGGATACAGGCGGTTACTTTGCTTTCAGAAATTAGAGCTTCTCGGGCCCTCCCTGGTGGCGCGGCAGGTTAAAGCACTGCGCTAAGAAGCTAAAGCCACTTCCCATGAGTTCGATTCCCACCTGCCCCGAAGGAGACCACATGGCGCGGCAGACCTCTCCTGACCCGCCCGCTGCTCCCCTCAGCAGTGTACTTCGTCCATCTGCCTGTTCTGCTCCCGCCTATG